AAAATGCAAGGGAATTCCTGGAAGCTTGGTATTCAGACAAGGCAGCCATCAACAGGCACATTGAGATAAACAACATCTACATACTATTCAAAAGAGACAATAAAAAGGAAACAAAAGATCAGAACATCTCCTCACCAGCAATCCTCACCCGTATAAGCAGAGATTAACACAAAGACATACAATCAAGCAGTAAACAATACCCTAATCAAGGAACTATCAGAGGGGGAAAAAAAACACACACACATCCCCAACAATACTGGCAGGGCATGCCACTGTATATAAACATACAGCAAACCCCACTCCATTCTAGCACTGAAGATGTTACCTAGCCGGGTAACGAAATGTCTGCAAGAAAACAACCAAGCTCAGAGAACCCCAAGGACTCCACAGTTTTTAGAGAGCATTGAAGATATGTAAATAAAAGTCACTACATGCACATATGCATGCTTTCTGTCTAGTGCACAAGAGTGATATTTCATCTATTAAATCTTTTCATTCAAGGGTAATAAAGAGTATATCTGAAAAAGCTACTATTTGGCATTTGAGAGAAGTTGGTAGTGCTGCTTGCCATTTAAGCTCAGAGTGACAATTAAAAATTTCCATGTGCTCTGAGAATATTTCTAGGCAGGGCAGATTTTGATAGTAGCTTCTAGCCCCCCTTTGAATGCTGCTGCTCCTGCCAGTTCGGCAGTTGTCTCCAGGTAAAGGCATGAACACTGCAGTGAGTCTACCAGGAGACACTTTAGAAGCCTGCCATGTTTTTAATGCCATGCCTTATCTAGTTTTTGTTGTGAGCCACCCAAGATCACCATGTGAGATAGGTGACCATTTAAGTTCTATAAATGGTTAAATGCTGATGAAATTAAAGAACATCTAGGTTGTAGCTGCTTGAAAACAGAATCTTGGATTAGATGGAGTTCATTATAATCTACTGAATCAGTTCTTACGTAATACCATTTCACATAATTCCGTAAAGTTCTCAATTTTTGTTTCTACAGTTCCCACCCCCTCACTCACCCTGATGAAAACTTTCTGAACTTGGGGAAAATTGTCTTATCTGAGATGTGATTCATTATATTGGCCTTGTAAAGGCAAATCTACCTCTCTGAAATAATCAACTTCAAATTTCATTTGCAAAACAATTCATGTTATCTCAAATCCCCACATACTTTTATTGAAAACAGCATAGAAAACCTACAACATAGAAAGGCTATGCCTTTCAAAAATCTATAATTTTTAGAATTACAATTTCAGGACTTCAGTTAACATAACAATGTTAAGATATGTGCAAACCACAGTGTCCTTATTTCAAAGAATACAAGGCCTTTATGTAGTATTGAAACATTAACAAATTAAGTGCTATGGGGACCAGCTCAGAAATTGCCATTAGCCAAATTTTGGTGTGCAGGGCAAGCATAGCCTCTGATCTCAAAACATGTATATTAGGGAAATAAATGGACAAGGCAGACCTTGAGCTTTATGTAACATAAGAGCTGTGCTGGATCAGTCCAAAGACCTATCTAGTCAAAGATTTGGTTCCCACTGTAGATTAGATTAGAGTTTATTAATTTCAGTTGGGACTGGCTTAAAAGGAAAAAAAAAGAGGTCAACAAAGTAGGCATACAAAAATGGTATGAATAAACAGAATAAAATAAGTACATGCTTAGAGCTAAAATTCGTGGATAAAATTTGTATCTAAATCCAAAAGGGAAAGTAAATACTCAATTTGTAACGAAGTCATTTAACTGTATAAACTTAAATCATCATATAACATTTAAAAATCTGGACTGGTCCCCATCATAGCAATATAGTACTTTCTCAATCTTTTTCTCATCATGTAATTTCCATTACTAAAGTATTATACACTTATGATTAGAAGCCATTAATCCCTCATGGTTTCTTACCTCTTCTGATTTCTTTAAGTCACTTAGGTTTGGTTCAACTACTTTGTGTTGTGAAACCTTACTCCACAACTTAAATACCCACTGTATTGTTTAAATCTGGATGACACTTGATTTTAATATTAAGAAAGAGAAGGGGGTAATAACCAAGTAATAATCTTTTCCCTGTTCTTCCTACACCAGGCAAAAGTTTATTTACCTCTGGCATGCCCCTTCTTACTCTTTTTCTAACCTGAAAACTCCCCCCCCCCCATAGGGGAGTTACTGTTCCAATATCCTGATTCGATTGAGCTTTTTGGCACCTTTTCAAGTCCAACAGTACTTTTGTTGAGGTTTAACTATCTCTGTCTATTGTGAAAGAGCAGATGTGAAACAAACCAAAACCTACATCCTCTTGAGTGCAACTATATTAGGACTGGGAGACCGCTGATATTTCAGAATCAGAAGTGACAGCAGCCAGTGAAGAGGTAGGTGACAATTCTAGCTCTGAGTAAATGGAGTATGTCAAGTGAATAGAGTTAACAAATGGAACTTTAAACTGAACTTTGACATTCAATTCTATTTACTTGGATGCCCCATCTTGTTCACAATGGGGGGTGGGGG